GCGTACTCTATACTATTCACCGTACATAGCTCTGTTACGTTAAATAGAAACCATCCACCATCTTTTTCTTCGCCATGGCCTATTTTCTTTTTTGGTAAATGTGTAAAAAATTATAATAACTAATAGCACAAAGGCAAAACGCAGCAACAGATTCATCTAGGTCCATCTCAGCGGGCATACGACAGTTCAAATGAGACACACGAGTGTGTACGTGGTGTTTTCTCGTGTCGAGCCTCTACGCGATGAGAGGCACGGGAGGCGACAAGACAAGCGTGTACAGCCACAGATCACTATATACTAGTCTACACAGACCACCCAGCCTACAAGACATGAAACCATTACGATTCTCTATAATCATAATTAAATTAGTCTGTCAAGTTTAGAAGAATAAAAGTTGTGCGGGTGGTGCGGGAGACGTAACTTAGAGATTTGTCACGTTCATATGTGAACTTTCTTTCGAATTATCTGGATGAGTCGATTACCAAACAGCACGCAAATAATAATAGTGCCAGAGGACAGAGTACATAAGCTGGAAGACCCTAACGACTCAACTAAACAAGAGACGTCCAGATTACGAAGCAGAAGCCGCCCAAGAAGCAACACCAGGTCGCTTTCTAGTCACAGGAGGTTCCCTATGTGCTGGTATCACAATAAAGATGGCGATCGTGCAAGTAAAAGCATTAAACCATGCGACTATACTCAGTCGGGAAATGTGCAAGGCAATCGGTAACGGCGACCTACGATTGCCCAAGTACCGGTCGCTTATTCGTTACTGACCGCAACACGAAGATGCAGTTTCTCGTTGATACAGGCAGCGATCTCTGTGTTTTTCCACGAGCGACAATGAAAGAGGATAATGGGTGGCGAGTGGCGACCATGTGGTGATTATAGAGCACTGAATGCTAGAACAATACTAGACCGCTACTTATATACGCCACATTCAGGATTTCGCTCAGTATTTACAGCAAAGTATTTACAACGATCGATCTAGTGAAAGCCTACAATCAAATTCCGGTCAACGAATCTGATATCCCTAAAACTGCTATTACAACGCCTTTTGGCCTTTACGAATTCCCGTACATGACCTTCGAACTTCGCAATAGTGCATAAACGTTCTAGCGCTTCGTAGATGAAATGACTCGTGGTCTAGATTTTTGCTTTGCTTATTTAGATGATTTTTAGTGTACTCAAAGGACCATGAAACACGTAAGGATCACCTTCGTCAGATTTTTACTATACTATAGAAGTTTGGGATGGTAATAAACACCGCTAAATGCATATTTGGGTCTGACGAGGTTAAATTTTTAGGCATCATATTTCAGCAGAGGGTTCAAAGCCGCAACCATCCAAAGTAGAAGCAATTAAAAACTTTCCAAAGAGCTAAGAAGATTCTTGGGCATGCTTAACTTTTACAGGAGGTTCATCCCCGATGCAGCTAAGTATCAAGCACCGCTGAACGAACTCTTGAAAGGTGCAGTTAAAGGTACTCATTCGATTCAGATTTGAGCTGAGCAGCTAGAAGCATTTGAATCATGCAAGCAGAGTCTATGCCAGGCTACGCTTTTAGCGCATCCTGACTATTCTGCTAAAATAGCTTTAGTAACAGATGCTTCGTACACTGCTATTGGCGCAGTATTGCAGCAGCTTAAAGTAGGCTCGTGGCAGCCACTTGCTTTTTTTCACAAAAGCTAAGCGTAGCACAAAAAAAGTATTCGCCTTATGATCGTGAATTTCTAGCTGTCTATGAAGCTATCAAGTACTTTAGGTATATGCTGGAAGACAGAGAATTTACTATCCATACAGACCATAAGCCCCTTTGTTACACATTTCACTCACGTAAAGAAAATTGCTCACCAAGACAGTTCAGACATCTCGATTTTATTTCTCAATTTAGTACTGACATAAGACACATCTCAGGAAAAAACAACGTGGTTGCTGATACTTTATCAAGGGTTGAAGACATTACTCAGCCCATTGATATGACAGTGTTAGCCAAAGCTCAAGCCTCCGACGAGGAATTACAGCTACTTTTGAACGTAATACGTCTTTGTGTCTTAAAAAACTCGAAATACCAGGTACTCATACTGAACTGTACTGCGATGAGAGAAGCAATCCACCGAGACCATACGTAACAAAGGAACTTCGTAGGCAAGTTTTTGAAAGCCTTCATTCTCTGAGCCATCCCGGAGCGAACGCCACAGCCAAGCTGGTAGCGGTAAGATTCGTGTGCCTAGGAATTAAAAGAGACTGCCGAGAGTGGACCAAAACGTGCTTGGCGTGTCAAGGTGCAAAAATTACTAGGCATGTAAATTCACCCATAGGCAATTTCAAATTACCACGTGTCAGATTTATGCAGATTCACATAGATCTAATAGAACCATTACTATCAGCGCAAGGGTACCGATATTTTTTCACAGCAATCGATCGATTTACTTGATGGCCTAAGGCAATACCGTTAGTCGACATTTCGGCAGAAACATAGGCCAAAGCTTTAGCCTGCGGATGGATAGCTCGTTTCGGATGTCCAACAGACATTATATCGGATCGCGGAGGACACTTTGAGTCAGCGCTATTCAAGCGCTTATCGGATATCGTAGGATTTCAGCATAGAAAAACTACAGCCTACCATCCGGCTTGCAACGGATTAGTTGAACGCTTTCATAGACAGCTGAAGGCCGCCATCACCTACCATGCAAATGAAAACTGGGTCGAAGCCCTTCCTTTAGTATTGTTAGAAATACGTAGCGCATTTAAAGAAGATCTTCAAGCTTCATCAGCAGAACTTGTATATGGGAAACTATTAGACTTCCAGGCGAATTTTTTATACCACAAGCAGATGGGACAGCAGATGTGACTGAATATATAACACGATTGCGTACGTGTGCGAAAAACTTACATCCATCTCCAGCGTCAAGGCATAGTAATAATCGTTCAGTCTTTTTCTTTAAGGATCTAGCAACCACCTACCATGCTTTTCTAAGGGATGAAGCTCGTAGGTCTTTACAGCCTGCATACTCGGGACCCCATAAAGTATTAGGCAGAGGAGATAAAACTTTTAAAATTATTTTAATGGTAAACCAGTCACCGTATCAATAGATCGTATTAAACCTGCATACATATTACACGACAAAACTACACACACTAGCAACACAAACAACCATAGCACTATCACCAAAACACCAAACAACACACCTAACATAGAAAATAAAACGGCTATAAAAAAGACAAGATCAGGAAGACACGTAAGTTATCCTGATTATTTTCGTGGGCACGATCTCTGGTGATATGTTGTGCAAAATATTAATTGATATGTTCCTTTATAAATAGCAGTAAAATAGTTAATTGTTTAGTGTAATTTTAATATTTAATTTTAAATTATTTCTGTATAAATATATATCTCATAATTACGGACATAACATACTACAGAAATTATTATATATACTTAAGTATTAGCAGTGGCTATTGTATTGCAGCGGTCGATGCAAGGGCGACTCAACAACAGCAAACCGGTTCACCGCTGGCCGTCCTTGCTTCGATGGTTCGCGCCGCGCCACCAGTACGTTTACGTATGCCATACTGTTCGTTTGTTTACTGTTTACTGATGATAAGAAATTGCTATTATAATTAATTCGTTATCTTTTTATATATAACTATCACTCTATTCTCCTTCTGTTTATTATAAAAGACTTGTAACTTGTGTAAATTATAATTATTTAAACTGAAAGACTATTGAATTTTATTTTACTTACACCAGCAGCATAACAAATATTAAATTGAACTATACATATATCGTAAGCGTAAATATGGGAGACTATGAAAACGTAACGTAATTATAAACAATTGAATGATGCGTAAAATACACCGATAAATACATGTAAAGTTCTTTAAAATATGTACATGTATTTTACATGTCATTTACAACGCTAATCGCTTACTATAAATCTGTTAAGAGTAGAATGTGCCTAAGAAATACACAAACATAATACATACTCTATAAAACCAAACCATCGATTTCAAATTATAATTACAAATAGATTAATACACAATTATAATAGAATGACTGTTCGTCTACACAAAAAATAATAACACAATAGTAGTAACAAATAGTCGGTAAACTTTCATCGATACTTTTTTAGGCATCTCTACTTACACGTGCCGCCTGCAGCCCCTCTGATTGATAGACAGAGACGCTACTATAATAATGCGTGCTTGACAAGGACAGCCTCAGAACTACGACCAGAACACGTTGAACCATCACGCTTTTAGTATTTTAAGATTATTAAATGTTGCACTTACCGGTGTAACGTGACTTTATCCTTCTTGAAATTTTGTTTCCTGCTATCACTACCACACCACTTTACTGCGCAAGTAGCACTGACCTCTATATATATAGAGGTCAGTGGCAAGTAGGCATGTTTTGCTGTTTTTTATTTTAATAAAAATTGTAGCGCTAAGGACGCAGTGCACAGGTCTGTTGTCTGGTCACTACTAAACACCTAAACAGGGGAGCGTTCATGTTCAACTATACAACATGTACAAAAATCCTGTGGTTCCCGTTAAGTGTGTTATCAGAATCAGTATCCAAGCAAGAGTATAAAAATATTTTTTTTTCAAAAAAAAAACATTAAAAAAATAAATTTTAATGAAAAAAAAATAATTTGCAAATTTTATGTGGTTTTATTTCCTCTAATTCACACGAGTATCGGTAATGCGGGGTCTTTAACAATCCTCTTACTCTTTGGCCAATGCAGAGATAATAAAACCACATTCAATTTGCAAATTAATTTTTTTTCATTAAAATTAATTTTTTTAAATGTGTGGTCTTTATGAAAAAAATTTCTATGTTGCCTTTCGGTTACATGTCTCGTAGGCTGGGTGGTCTGTGTTAGTCTACGATGTACATCCGCTATAGATACTGATTATATACTCTTTGAACCACTCTCTTATATACTCTTTGACTGCCATTAACTCGGCCATTTTTGTTGCGACTGTGAACCGACATGGTTAGTAGATATTATAAGTGGAATTAACATCTTTTATTACTTAATCAATCCGTGATTGTTTAGACTTTACTTAATTTTAAATATTATTGTATACCATCTATATTTTATGCGGTACCATATTTTTATTAACTTTAGTCCATATGATGATACCACTAGATAAATAATTATACGGTTAGAACCTGAATCTCTGTGAAGTATTTACTAGGGCGGACTGATGGCACAATTGTTATCCGATTTTGTCTAAATTTCTGCTTCCTTCTTACTTAAAGTACGATTTTACGTTTTCAGTCGCATAGAAAATTTTCGGCGCCTCGCCATGGTTCCATGGGATTCTATCCCAAGAAAAGGTCCCGTCGTCATCGTGGTAAAGTTAAGGCGTTCCCTAAAGATGATCCCAGTAAACCTGTACACCTCACGGCGTTTATTGGATACAAGGCTGGTATGACCCACGTGGTTCGTGAGCCTGACCGCCCTGGATCAAGTAAGTCTATTTTATTGTTTCACCGTCTTGTGACTAAATTTAAGCAATTCTTATTTACGTTTGTTTCAATTTTTAGAAATTAATAAGAAGGAAATTGTTGAGGCTGTTACGATCATTGAGACACCTCCAATGGTATGTGTTGGTGTTGTTGGCTACATTGAAACTCCACATGGTCTTCGTGCACTATTGACAGTCTGGGCGGAACACATGTCTGAAGACTGTAGACGTCGCTTCTACAAGAACTGGTATATATTTAGTGCCTTTTTTTCTTCTCTTATTTGATAATTCCTTTTTTTTAATTGCTAATCTCTACTAATATATTTTAATAGCTCTCCTCTCACGCGATGAGGGTTTATATTGTATAATATGCTTGAAGCATATTATTACCATGTTGTTTCCGCTCAACGATGAGGCAGCATGGTTTTCTATTGCAGCAATTATTATGAAATGATTTAATTAGGTACAAGTGCAAGAAGAAGGCCTTCACCAAGGCTAGCAAGAAATGGCAAGATGAGCTTGGGCGGAAATCAATTGAGAAGGATTTCAAGAAAATGATTCGTTACTGTAGTGTGATCAGGGTTATTGCTCATACTCAAATGAAGCTATTGAAGCAACGTCAGAAGAAGGCTCATATTATGGAGATCCAAGTCAATGGTGGAACTGTTGAAGATAAAGTCAAGTGGGCAAGAGAACATCTGGAGAAACCTATCCCTATTGATTCGGTGTTTGCCCAAGATGAGATGATTGACTGCATTGGTGTGACAAAGGGGAAAGGTTACAAAGGTAATTAACAAATTTTAATAGTGTTTTGCAACAAACATTCAAATTTGCCAAGTATTGTTTATTTTTTAGCACAAACTTATTACTAGAATGCTATGCATAATAAGAGAACCCATTTAATTTTGACTCATGAGTGTTATAATAAAAATCTTGGGCTATTCTGTTCAACCACCCTAGATGAGGTGGATAATCTTTTTTCTTCAGAGTTTTATAAAAAACATGATAGAAACTGGCTCAAGATTATAGCAGACAGCATACTTACAAAAATATATACATACTTGTGTAAAGGTCAAAACTGAAATAATTTTAGTTGTTCAATGACATTATTCAATGTGATATCATTTACATCATTTTGGAAATATCTTATGATAAAAGTTTTACTGCAGTTAATTTCAATTATATTGGAGTAGGTAATTAAAATATATTGTTAATTATATAAACACAGTATTGGAAATAGTATGGTACTTAACAAATGATAATAAGTTCAAGTATGAATAAATTTTCTGTTGAACTGTATTTAGGGTGGGAAGGCGGAACAATCAAAACTTGAAATTTTTTATCTACCCTGTCTAGGGTGGAAAATGGATAAACAGAATAACCCAAAATCTTATAATTGGTAGATGATGGCAGTGCTCATTTTCTGATAAGATTTGAGAAGTTTATAGGGTGAAGAAACTTGTCCTGTTGTGACCACACATAACTTAGAATAATTTTAATTTCTCAGATGTGCAGTTTCTTTCTGTTTCTGTCACCCATCAGTCTCCTATCATATAAACTACACTTTACTACAATTCCACAATGGTGGAAAGTGGTGATGAAGCCTTGTATCATACATTGCACTACTATATAATTACACCAACAAATATCTAGTCACTATAGTGATAGATATGTAATTGTATTATTTTCTTAGTGTAAGTTGGGATCAAACTTGGTTGTGCACTGTGTGTACCACACTTAGGTTTAATTTTAAGTTGTACATTGTGTGTATACACACTAAGGTGGGTGACTGCGAATGATCTGGTTATTTAAGTAAACACTGACTACTAATACAAATTATTCAAATTGTCAATAGTAATCTCTAGTCACTTATGTTTAAACATTGACTATATAGTTGTTTTGTTACTGTCATTTTTCTTGTATGTAAACATAACTGAAGTCCATTCTACACTTGTGTCAACTTATACACATATGAATCATTTCCTACAATTTAAAAAGGATAAATAAAAATATTTACATTGCAAAGGATGCATTAAGGCAAAGGAATATTTTGTCTTATTGTGAATATGTGAAAATATCCTAATATGTATGGTTAATTATATTGATTAAATTATATTTTGTTACAACTGTTAATTTTAGCAGTTGTATGTTAAAATCTTATCACTCTTATTATATATTTGTTTACACCATTATTCAACCATTAAGCCAGTTGTTCAGTCAGCGCAGCTGTAGGAGGTTGATGAGACGAACACAGGTCAACAACTACTTTTTTAAATAGAATAATGGTTACAAACAAGCACATAGTCAACCTAATAATAAGTGGATGCTGTGGCCCATAGACATCTACATTTATTCTTGATTATAAATCAACATGCAGATGTGTTGTCCCTAAGAACTACAATGAAAATACCTCATTTCCAGTAGTAAAGTCTAGTTCTCTACACTCAACATTAAGTTGCTGTTTTTTTGCTGGTATTCTGTGAAAGCATAATCCTTTCCCGGTTGAGCCACCCCAACCCATTCATGCTACAACTATTGTATAGCTGCAGCATGATATAAAACTAACTTCATTTGTCAGTGACCGAGTGATTTGAAGTTGAATTACTTGAATAGTCATTCCTAGTGTTAAAAGTAAAATTATTAACTAGTCAAAACCACTTGACTGCAAAAATCAGGCAAAAGTAATTTCTAAGCATGTTGGTCAAAACCACTTAACTGCAAAGATATTGGGTAATCACTATAATTTTGATTGAATGAAATGATTTTGCCATTAACACAGCCTTGTTATAATTAGCAGGGGTTAATCATGTGTATGTAAAGTTGACTTCTATAGAAAAGTAATCTTTTTTTTTCTGTATACTGTGCACACTAAATTTCAATTCGATCATTTATTTATTAATTTAAATTTTAAATAGGTGTGACTTCCCGTTGGCATACCAAAAAGCTTCCTCGCAAGACACATAAAGGTCTACGTAAAGTAGCCTGTATTGGAGCTTGGCATCCTTCAAGAGTTTCATTCACTGTTGCTAGGGCTGGTCAGAAGGGCTACCATCACCGAACTGAAATGAACAAGAAGATTTACCGTATTGGACAAGGTATGTTAATTACATAAAAACCATTGCACTAATTTAGTCAAAACATTTAATGATTAAGTTCTAAATCAGTACAATTTTTTATTAGGAATCCACACTAAGGATGGAAAAGTTATTAAAAACAATGCATCTACCGAATATGACTTGTCTGAGAAGTCCATCACACCAATGGGTGGGTTCCCTCACTATGGAGAGGTCAATAATGACTTTGTAATGATCAAAGGTTGCTGTATGGGTCCCAAGAAACGAGTTATAACTTTGAGGAAAGTAAGTATAATATTTGTGAAAAAGATATTAACAAATGAATACATTTGAACTATAATAGACAATTTTTACAGTCCCTACGAGTACACACAAAGAGAGCTGCTCTGGAGAAGATCAACCTCAAGTTTATTGACACGTCGTCTAAATTCGGACATGGTCGCTTCCAGACCCCAGCTGATAAGGCTGCATTTATGGGCACACTTAAGAAGGATCGTATTAGAGAAGAAGCTGCTGCTACTGCTACTCCAGCAGCGGCGCAATCTTAAACATCCTTAACAACTTAAGAATAAAATGGTGTATGAATACATAGTTTTTTATTTAAGATATTACAATAAACCCTTTTTAAGGTAGTGAGCTCCAACTATGTAAAGATTGATACTGAAACACTGGTTAAATTCTACTATTTTCTGTTCTTTTAGTCATGACTTCATAAGGGTTAGCCCTTTAAATGCCACGCTGTAAAACAGGGATTCCTAGTGGTCGATATCGACCCAGGTTGAAATCTGTTTTCCCCAGGGGTCGACATACGCGATAACTTTGGGGGTGATTCTTTGATAACGAGGGTTTTCGACTAATTCATCTGGCTTTAAATTTTTTTTGTTATTTGATAGTAATTATAATATTAGTTTATCCTGGTCTTAAAATGTAATAACTTTATATTGAATGCACTGATTTTCTTCCAGTAGTTTATGAATTAAGTTGTCCTGATGAATGATGAGAAAGGCAGAAAAATGAGACTTCTAACATATTACTTAGAATCATACAGATAAATGATAATTTCATGTTATTTTCAATTAACTTTATTTAGAAATGAGTAAATAATGACTTCAATATTTTTTGGTTCACATAATTAAATAATATTAAAACATTGGCGTACGATAGCAATTTAAAATTAATAGTTTAAAAAAATCCGTTATTAACTTGTTCCCTACAAAATTACTCTTATAACACAACATAAAAAAACATGATTATAATCATCTTTCAGACTTAATTTTTGATAGGAATTTGAATCACGAGATCGTGGAAAACCTGATGTACGTACCTATAAACGTTTTAAAAAATATTCAAGTCATCATCATCAGTGTCAATTAAGTATGGATTAACATTTTCGAAATCGATACCAAATTCTTTGTTACCATCTCTTGAAAAAGTTGTCTGATAAATCATCGAAGTCAACATATTCTGCCGATTCCATTTTTTGTTCTTTTTTATCCTTTCTTCTCTTAAAGTATTTTTTTGGTTAGTCTTTGGTGTTTAATATTTGATTCTATCTTTCTTTGGTGACGAAAGTTGTGCCATTTTCTTTATTAACCTTTGGTTCGGTTAGCCTTTCGAATTATCTCTTCGTTTACGTCTGTTTCATGATTTATTTTCCAAAAGAATTCACCAATTTCTCTCAATTGTCTTTTCGAATTAGCTAGGGGTGTGACCGTTAAATATTTCTGACATCCGCCTTCTAAGTGATAAAAACCAAGGTGCTTCATGTGGTTGCAATTGACAACATGATACAGTTTTTATCAGTACAACTTAGTTTTCGAACTGCTACCATAGGAGAATCCAAGTTCCAGACTATTTGATGCATTTTCATGCATCCTGGAAAACCTTTCACATTAGGTGGGAAAAGCAAGTCCTTTTCACTTATGTGATATTCAGAAACTGATATTTAAAAAATCATCTAGACCCTTTATGTCCTGTCCTTGGGAGGACAGCTCGATCCACAGTTCTCTTCATAACAGCACCTATTCCGTCTGGGGCTCCCTTTCCATGACCAAATTCACTGTAGTTCCACATAATGGTTTTGATGGAGCTTAGGTATATAACTCGTACGAATTAACTTGAGACCTGGGCCGATGACGTAATTGTCAATGTACGGTGTGCAAAATAATGCGTCGTAATATTTTTTTTATTTTTTATATTTTTATTTGAAATTTTTGAGATTTGCATGAGATTATTAATAAAAACGAAATAAAATGTTCTGGCAAGGGGTGAAGTAATAAGTGATATACTGTTGCCATTTTTATATATTTTAAATATTTATTTTTTATAATATATATAATATTATTTTTAGTTAACGCGTCAAGGAAGGACAAAGAAATAAACATACACACTTTCTCATTTATAATATTATTAATTTATTTATTATACACTTTATTGCACTATAAAAAGTGTTACAGATTCATACACAATGAAAATACAAAGCATAACAGGCGACCTTATTGCTAAAAAGCAATCTCTCCCAGGCAACCTTAAGTCCAAACCAAACAACAAACAATTATCAAAAATATCGAACTAGAGTCGAGACGCGTATCCGTAACAAAAATGCTATCGGTACTGAGCCCGCACGGCCAGCGCGGGACGCGGTGCGGGGGAGTCGGAAAAGGGGTCGCATTCCAGCGGAGTCTCAAGTTAATTCGTACGTGTTGTATGTGCAAGCATGAAATTAAATAAAATATCTTTTTGTTACGATACTGACTGGATGGGGAATCAGAAATAAAATGTATAGTGTGAATACCTGTCTTTGTTTCACCTATATATTCGAGGATTGGTACGATGTGAGCCCATACGACTGATGTCATGACGCAGGCATTCACTTACCGTGCAAAAAGATTGTATTTGCGGTATCTTCTCATCATTCAAAAAATATATTACCGAAGTATGTAAAGTTAATTGTTTACGACTACCACCGAAATGATAGGACTGTATTTCTTTATTACACTTAACTGCATAATTTTCGCTATAATCAATGTGAATAATACACTCACCCTCTTGAAGATGTTCTTTTAAGTTTCTGAAAGCTTTTTGTTGAGCAGCTATATTACCACAGTGCACGAAATACTCATTCAGTATTGATTCAAATTTTTCAATACACTTCTTAGGTTCTTCTCGTTTTTTAATTTTTTCAGTAGTCCTTACTTTTCTTTCCATACCCTGAATCATATCTTGTTTAGTCTCCCACTGCCAGTAAGTAATATCAATAGAATTATCAAATTCCTGATAACAGACTTCCTTTTTCTAGCACGCTAAACATGTTCGATGTAAACAATCCACATCATACACGTCACAACATAGTAAAGCGAGAAGATCTTGGGAGGTCTTAACTGATAAGATCTTCCTCTGGTACAATCCTTGAACTATTAAATTCATATTGGTATGCAATTTGCATAAACAAGTTTCTTGTGATCGGGAATCAGGAAGCAGCACCCAAAAAGGTCTTAGTTTGCAGAATGCTGAATAACTTATAAGTAGTAAAATTTGAGTTTTTGAGAAACTTTCTATGCAAATTAAGAAGACTATCACTGAGATACCGCTTTTGTTTACGTATTTTTTTTCTTACTACAAATTCTTCCCAGAGCATAGGCGCGCATTTTCATCATCTTCATAAAACCTTTAGACTTCTTTTATTAGTAGATCAGGCAAAGATTTTAAATTACGATTCAGTGTTTCATTAGACATATTTACTATGCGTTTTATTTTAGGAACTATTTTATCTTGATTGGGCAAATCTACAGCTTGGGATCTTTCTTTTGTTTTTGGCTTTAACAGCCTATGCAGTTGTTTCCGATAACGTTCATTCTGTCGTATATTAATTATTATTTTTTTAAGATCTTATCTCTTTATCTTTCATGTAACGTGTGCGTCTTACGGCGGAAGTTATAGGTGAAGAACATGAAGGAGATTTATTCGGTGTACGTATTCCTAAGTGAGATGATAAGTCGTTGCTCTGTTGAGAAATACTGCGCAAAATCCTAGATGGTCCTGGTACAGGCGACTCCGGTTCTCCGCATAAAAACGGATTTTCCAAAGGTTCACACGGATCATGAATGTTGTCTTCTAAAGCTATCAGTTCAGTGTCCATTATGATGCTGGAACTTTGTGGTGAGGTATTTTGTTCAAGTAGGGCCGCTGTTATTTTTTCTTGCTATTTTCTTAGGTAATATGACTTGTAATTCTTTCTCCATCTCTTTCTTTGTAACCTTTGTTGTCTAGGATTCATTTCATTTATTGGTAGTTGTTTCTTTTCCTCCTTTCTACGTATGTAGTTTTGCCTATTCTTCTCTTGTTTTTCTTTCCATAAGGCATCATTATTTTTTATTCTTTCATATCTCTTTTTCTCTGCTAATCTCTTTTTTCTAAGCCTTTCTTCTCTTGTCTGTTTCTTTGATTTTGCCATTTTTAAAATACAGATCTGGAAAAAGAAAGTGGGATGCAAATGCTTAGCCAAATTTGTACTTTTTTAAGGCAGTAGTTTCAGCAGTTTTAAGATATTCAAAAAATCTGGAAAACAAAATCTCAATTCTGTAACGTATTCTATATCTTCAATTGATGGTTTTCAATTCAAAGTGTGGGTTGAATCTAATTCATCTGACCTGCTCAAATTCATCTGGTCATATAAGCCAGATGAAATCAGACTAATGAGGGCCAGAAAAATTAGGAATTTGAAGAAAATCAAATGCTGTTCCTCTATTTATAATCGTACAAAATAAAAGAAGTATTTAATAGCAATAAATAATCTTATAAGAGATTGTGTTTTTGTTAAAACATTTAAAAATGTGCACAATATCCATAAACGAAGACAGATTAATTATTCTACTTACGTGACAAATGCCAGATCACGAAATTGTATCGCAGTTTTTCGGTAAAATACACGCCGGCACGAACGTTGCGTATTACGGCTCGGGACTGACCACAGAACACTATTACTCCTATCGGAGGGACTGACTGACGTGAACAATCACTAAGCGGTATAATTCAATTGAATATTTTGAGACAAACATTAAATTCATGCTTCGACGTATTGAGCCAGATAAATGATTAGTTTAGTCGCGGACAATTTTTAATGTTATGGTAATCCGAGAACCTTTAATTATTTTGGATTTAAATATGAAATTATCAAGAAACAGATATTCAAATATCGATACAACTTATTTATTTTAGTCTAATGTGAAAGGTAATTTCAGAAAATAGCATATTTCCACAAAAAACGTCATTTGGACGCGCCAGATTAATTAGATTTTAATGTTTTCTGTTAAACAAAATTAGGTTTATTTTAATTAAATGCATTTGACTACATAAGCCCTCGATTGACATTTAACTTTAACATTAAACCTGAACTGGATGTTTAAATAGGATATTATTTTGATGTGTTCTTCAGCGAAAATAATGTCAAAACTGCGTTTCAAAGAATCACCCTTGGGGTTTGACGAGGTCTAAAAATTGACCCCTTTTAACACAAGTTCTTATTGCTTTATTTTTATAAATAATAAAT